AGGCAACCATAGTTCAACAAGCTTTAGAAACAGAAGATTCAAATAGAGCAGGCTTAAACAGCAGGTAAAACCTTCATATCTTCTCCAGAGACAGAGAAGCAGTGGAGTCAGCTGAAAAAATACAAATGAAACTTGGAAGAGCCAACAGAACTTGGTACATATCCGAGACAGATTCGATAACTCGCAGATCTCAACGGCTTGTAGACCAAAACAGATAGGATTGAGTAATAAAACAACATACTCAATCATACATAAACATAACAGAGCAAAAATATTTCAAGAACATAACATAATTTTTCTTTTTTCTTTTTTTTACGATTTTCATAGGGGGTTTACTGGCAGATCTGGTTGAGATTGGGTAAATAATTGATTTTTCAAAAGAAAAAGGGTTGTTCTTCAGAAGGATAGGACACACAAATTTTTTCAAAGGCAAGATTATTATTCTTCAGAAGAGCAAAACACGTGAATTATTTTTTTTTGGGCTGGTTTTTCAAGAGGGTTTTTTAGATGGGGTTTCTGATAGTCAATTTTAGAGGTTTGGCTAGGGAAGATTTGTGTCGGTGGCAGAGGGGCTTTCAAGCGCATATGGCTTCTCTCAGGAACAAATGGTCGAGGCAAGAAAACCCAAAATATGGAAGGAACCAGCAAGCAAGGCAATGGTAGGGCCCTTGGAATCCTCAACCTCCCTGGCGTTGTAACTTCTTTTACTTGTTGCAGGATAAAACGGAAGCCACAAGGTAACGAAGCCGAATGGGAGAAAAAGCAAAATAAAGGTAAACTGATCAAGGAGATCAGCAAAGTGCTCAACACACAACAACGGATAACTTCTGAGACTGACCTTCCCCAACAGCAAATTGGAGCAGGAATCGTGTATAACTTAGACAAAATAAGAGAATGTAAACAATGATGGATAGACGGTCACCTTTTAGAGATTTAAGGTTCTTGTAGTTTTCGGTGAGTTTAAAGGTTGAATCGGGATGTGATCGAGTAATAACAAAGTAGCAGACTCGACTGTATATTCCATTAAAAAAAACAGACTCGGCTTTATAGGAATGGACATGGCAAAGATGAATAAGGATTTAATACCATGTGAAGAGTCTCAAGTTGCTCTGAAGAGACTCAATGTCGATTAATCAATACGAATATACAAGCTTGTTTTATATAAATAAATATATATATGACAATGATAGAAATAAATCACAAACACTTGTACTGTACCATAAAATAAAAGATATTGTACCTACCCTTTTTATATACACTGATTATAATATACATCTGTCATATTAACCTGGTGGACAATATACTTTCGTTTTACATATTGGAGATCCAAATTTTGCCATTCTAATGGTAGGACAGTTCGAAAGTCAAAATTTTGAATAGCCTTGCATACCCCACAATAAATTGTGGTGAACGATTCGAATGTTAGACTTTTGAACTCTTGAATCACATTTTTTTGAGGGGTCTGATGACTTACAAATCCAAACTTCAAACTATTTACTTATATACCTTTTATAATAGCAAATAATTCAAGAGGCAACCTCTGAATAACTTTATTACAAAAGGCCGGTGAAAGTTCAAGGATTGAAATGGCAAACAGTTTGGTTCCCTCTCTCATTTTTTTTTGGAGTGGTTCGAAGGTCCATTTCAATGGTTGTACTGTCAAACTGCTTGACTTCGGGCGTTACAAATGGCATTTAAAGAACTCGCCCTTAAAACTGTGTACACACTTTTAGTTTTTTATTTATTAGGAAAAATTATGTATGGACCATAAAGCAAGTGTTGAATTACTGCGTGGTCCATATTTTCTTGAACTTTATGCTGAAGTCTTATTTTATGTATTTTTCTTTGTATTTCAGTTCGGCCTCTAGTTCGATGTTGCTAACATATAACTTCTGTTTTTTCTTTTTCTCAAATTTTAAATTTTTTCGACCTCTGCGATGGTACAATATCCCAAAAATTCCATATTTGAGGTGGTGTGGTATAAGTGATAGTGAAGGACTTCATTCTTAGAATTTTTTTTAGGCATGGGTTTGATGTTGCTAACATTGAAGAACCCTATACTTAAGAAAAATTCTATGTTTAGAGTTGTTGAATATAGGCAATATAAAGCCACCCAACACTTGGGGTCATAGTGAGTAAGGTGGTTCGATGTTGCTAATTGTCAAATCGATACAGAAATGAGGCAATTTGAGTTTGGGGGCAGCATATAAAAAAAAAAACATTTTTATGTTAGCAACATGGACCAAGGGTTAAATTTGAATAAAAGAAAAAAAGGGCTTCGGTGTTAAATTTGGGAAAATAAGGACCGTACTATAATTCAACATTTATTTTGTGGTGTGCATTTAATTTTTTCTTTTTTAAATTTTTTTTAGGGCGGTTCAAAAGGTCCAACCTTCAGCCGCTTGCTTGTGCTTAAAAAAAAAACAAAAAACACACATAGAGAGAGAGAGGGGTAAGCTGTTTGAAACGTCTTTAGGCCAAAAAATGACTCTGTTGGAGATGTTTGAAGGTGGAAGTTTTGAACTGCCCACCATACTTTGTAATTGGCAAAGTCCAGTGATTTTAAGGTGCAACCTTTGAATCGATTTTAATGTTAAGTGGTGTGAAAGTTGTGTTGGATTTGGTGCTATTCAAAATCACCAACATAATAAAATTTCATATTATGTGGGATTGAGATATTCCCATAAGTTAATGAAATAAAAATCCAAAAAGATTAGGACTCTTTGGTATATCTCTTGGTCTTTTGAGATATATGTAACATCACTAAGAAGTTTCCTATTTAGTTAGACTTCTAATCTTATATATATGAGATAAAAGTTCAGAGAATTGGTGTGCCCTATTTGGGTCACCATATGGGAATGGTGGTTCTTCTAGAAAGAGAGAAGGAAACTCCCAAAATCACTAATATAAAGAAATTTCATATTATGTGGGATTGAGATATTCCCATATGTCAATAAAATAGAAGTTCCAAAAGATTAGGACTCTTAGATATATCTCTTGTCTTTTGAGATATATGTAACATTAATAAGAAGTTTTCTATTTAGTTGGACTTCTAATCTTATATATATGGGATGATAGTACAGAGAATTAGTGTGCTCTATTTGGGTCACCATATGTGAATGGTGATTCCTCTAGAGAGAGAAGGAGATAGAGTCTCATGTGCATATATTAACCCATCGGATTTAAAGCTTCCAAGCACAGCAAGTGGTATCAGAGCACATCAAGTTGGACTTGAAAACTACTCTAACCTCCCCACACCTCTGCAACTCCTCAAGGTGTGAAAAAAAATCAAAAAGGAAAAAATAAAAGTGAAATGGTTGCAGTTTGAAGATACAATTTTTACATTGTTTTGGGATATGCATGGTGGTTCTAAAGTTGGACCGTCGAACTCCTCTAAATACCAAACTGCCACCCCACAAAAAAAACAAAAAAATCCAAAGTGCTTAAGTAGTTAAGGTATGCAAAGTGCTTTGGAAGTTCAACCTTTTCGAACTAGTTAGTTCACAAAAAAAAAAATTCCTTGAATGGATTGCATCTTTGGATTGGTTTATAATTAGGTAAAGAAAATCAATTCATGATTCGAATATTCGAATTAGAGGTCAAATTCAAGGAAAAAAAAAACTCAAAAATTTTGGACCTCAAAGTAAAAGACCCTAAATATGGACCATGCCGTCAATTGGTTGGGTCCACATGTAAATTTCTTTTAAATAATTTATTAGTAGAAAATCAATGTACTCAAACTATTTCATATGCTTAATGGTGGAAACCTACCTATTTAAAGCAGGGGTAGCAATGGAACTTGACCTGATTATCCATATAGACCCAACCCGTTAATATTTAAATAGTATTCAATATATAATATTTAAATAAGAATAACTATATATTATATATTTAACACAATATTTAAATATACTTAAAAATATATACTTTTTGATTTTCAGGTCAGGTTCGGTTGGGTCCGGGTCCAATCAAGTATGGGTCCGGGTCCTAACTTCGGGTCCTGTGGGTTTAGGTCCCAAAAATTTACGACCGTTGCCACCCCTAACTTAAAGTCACAATATGTTTCCAAGGCCCGGAGCTTAATTCAATTTAATGATTCTTGTTATCCTCCTTTCATCTATTTTCCTTTAATTTGATGGGAAAATCAAACTATCTTCATGCATGGAGCACTGAAGGATAATATTAAAAGAGAGAGAGCGAGAGAGAGAATGGGTGGAAGAGACGAGAGTTAACGATACCAATATTAAAGGAGACATTTTTAGTTTTTGGCACAAACCAGACTGGAGGTCTTGACCATGACCATGGAAGAAAACTTCTAAGCTTCTAATTCAAGGACTATGCCATTAGTAAAGCTTTTTTCTATTATTGTTAATTAATGCCTTCTATATTAATGCAAACATACATGGATACAACACCTACTGCCAAACAAATAAAAACAGTGGTTTAAACAATGACTCGAATAGGAACTCGCTTAGTCCCGAAGCTAGATTTAGGAAGCTCAGACTCTAATAAGCATGTTAGACTCGACCGAGTTCTAAAAGCTCATAATATTGAGAACCGGGAAGACTCTGCAAATTTCCACAATTTTTGTTACAAACTCAGCAGGTGCTGAATCCGATTAACTCCGGATTCCCAAGTTTTGATTCATTCAGTATAGGATCAAAACAAGTGAATCTTGATATGTTGGTATCAGAAACTATTCATTACAGAGACATAGAAGAAGGCACTTGGATCACATGAACACAATGCAATGCCCAAATTAGAATATCATATATAGAGTTGTAGATATAAGTAGAACAAAATATATACTAAAACAATTTATTTTCGGTACAAAAAGGTCCTAATCACCCCAAAGATGTGAAACCAGATAGCCAGGGCTAATATGTGCAAAGCCTCAAACTGTGTATCTTATCGTAAACGAATAAGGTTGAAATCAAAGGCAAGAGACTTCTGTTTCATAAATAATATGCATATATAACATGTAGAATCCATTGGGTCTTGATGCATGAACTCAATAATGCATTTATCAAGAACTAAGCCATTTCATCAAAGGGCATTCCAAAGACAAAATGATACCATCTTTCTATCATATTAATTCTCATTTATCTTAAGAAAATCCTACAAGCCTGCACTAAGCATGCTCTCTAGAGACCATGTAGCATGCAGTCTTAAGATTGTCGACCACATAAAATCTATACACATGGAGAACATGATTTAGGTTACCACTCTATGTATCAACATCTATGAGATTGCAGACCCGATATACTGTATAGTGTTGTCATGGGGTTAGGAAGATCACTGAGCTGATATTTCACTTCACACTACCCACTGATAAGAAATCCACAAATGGGACGCTCGAAGTCGTACACGAATCCAGATCCTCTTCCTCACTTTTTGTCTCCACTCCATTGTTATCGGTCTTCACGCTTAAGAAGTTGTAGAACTCGATTGGGGTTTCCTTGTCTGCAAGAATTACAGGGTAAAAATAAGAAAAATACAACATAGGAGAGAAAAAACCAAGTAAGAGGAATTGAATGAGATTAGCTCATAAATCATAGTTATAAGAATGAAATTAGAGATAATTTATCTTAAGAAAGAGGAAATTAGAGAGGAAAGGGGAATTTCATGAGATAAACTCACTAGGGTACAGTTGTGTGTAGTTGTGAGGATGGGGAGTGTGAATAAAAGGTCCCCCATATCTCCTATAGTAGTTTCCTAATAAGCCATTGAAGTTTTCTCTCTCTCTCCCCATGATTTCGGGTTGTCTCGCTTCTTTCACAAGATTTTGAGCTGCTTTCTTAGCCAGAAACCTCGATCTCTCTCTGCATTTCCGCGCCATGATCACATGCCAGTGATTCTTTACCGCATTATCCGTCCGGCCAGGGAAAAGCCGGGCGATAATCGCCCATCGGTTCCCATGTAAACGATGAGAAGCGAGAAGGCGCTCCTCTTCTTCTTCGGTAAATGGGCTACGATTGATCCTCGGGTCCAACTGGTTAAACCATCTTAATCTGCAACTCTTACCTGGTAATCCATGGAATGGATTAGTATCCGAACTTATGAGACATGCTTTCTTGAGTTCTTGAGGCCTGGTATACTAAACTAGTGCATTAACAAATTCATGTAAATGAGAATCACCTGATTCAGAAAAATAGTGCTAGGGTTTCTCTCTCTCTCTCTCTCTCTCTCTACTTTCCCTTTCTAAATGTTTGGTGTTAAGGAATAACAGAAGCAGAATGCATGGAAGATGCAAACAAATATCATAAACAATCCAAACCCGAAAACCTTAATTATTTTCAATTGGTTCTCTAGAATGCATGGAAGATGCAAACAAAGACCATAAACAATCCAAACCCGAAAACCTTAATTATTTTCAATTGGTTCTCTAACAATAAGCGTTGGAATTCTTAACTTTGTAAGGGAAGTGATAAGAGAGAGAGATAGCATAGTAGATAAACTGAGTTTTAGCAGAATCTGTTGCAGGTGTACAATTGGTGATCACGAAATAAAAGATCCGGATTACGGACCGATCCTAATTTCCAAAACCCTAATTATCTGCTGCTAAGCATGAACAGATCCAAGCTTTTTTGGTTTCTCTCTCTTCCATCTTAATTCTTAGCCCAATTTTTTCAATTCTATACCTGATCTTCCTTGAAGCTTCTCAGCTATGGCGTTCCAGTTATGGGGGCCGTATTTGTCCACAAGCTCTTTGAGCTTATCGTCTTCTGAAGGCCTCCAATGGCCTCTGGTGCACATCTGAGCCTCACAAGGAAAAGCTTCAACCACTTTCTCTCTCTTGAAAGTGAGGAGGGACCGTTTATGCTCTCTCGAACTCAAAAGGGACCCAGGGTCGATGTGAATGGGGTTCTGGAGTACGTATATATTTAAGAAGCTGATATGTAGTTTTGTTGGTTATTAAAGAAGAAAAGGTAGATGAGACAGAAAATACAGATTGTATTTTTCCGTTACAGGAGTTGAAGGTGCTTGCACCTGCGATGGATACGTCTCCTCTAACCATGGCCTTTTTACCCATTAAAATAAGAGAGAGATATCAAAGGTTAGAGAGAGAGAGAGATCTGAGGTTGCTGAGTGGCGGGCGGGCTAGGATAACGCCTGTGTAATATTTTTCTTTTTAGGAATAAGTTTTTATAAGGCCTAGGCTTTATGAAAACAAAAAAAATCCTCACCTCAAATCTTTTGATTTCGTTGATGAAAATCTTCATAATGGCTCTAAAATCAATTTCTGGCACCATAATTGAAATTTGAAACTAAAAAAATGATATAGATCTTGTGGATTCGTGAACACTTTTTTTTAGGAAAAAATGGGCAGTTTAGATAATCTGTTTCAATATGCACTAATTTAAAAGCATCAAATCCTAATTTTTTTTACAACCATAATGTTCAAGCTGAGATGATGGATACAAAGGTTTTTCAATACTTGAATTGCTAAAATTCAATGAGTTATGAGGTGAGGCTTTACTTGTTTTGATAGGGCTGCAGCCCTAACAAACCATTTTCTTATTTTGATAGGGCTGCAGCCCTAACAAACCATTTTTTTTGTCTTCCTATGGTTTATTTTCTCACTCATCAAAGGGTTTGAGAGGAAATTTAATAATAGGATTATATTATACAACCTCAATAAATGAAGGCAAGCACCAAGTTATGTAAGAACTCAATTTCCAATTTTGTGGCCACTTATGTGACATCAACAAAAGAACCTTGTACATATTTCTTTCTCTCTCTAAATTATATGAGAACCCAATTTCCAGTAGCATAAACCAAAGAAACTGGTCCCCAATCTCTCTCTCTCTTCTCTCTGTGTAAGAATTATATTGGCAAGTCGTTTAAGTAACCTATAATTTCCTAGATTAAAAAGACCTAAGAAGCACTTCTCTCTCCGAGGGAAATTGACATCTTATTCATTTCTTTTGAATTAGGTACTTGAGGTACTTTTAACATCTGCTTCTCTAACTAACAAAAAAAAAAACAGACTTTCTCTCTCTAACAAATGAAAAGAGTAAACATGGACTTTCTCTCTCTAACGAATTTCTCTCTCTAACTAATGAAAAGAGTAAAACATAGACTTTCTCTCTCTAACTAATGAAAAGAGCCTCTCAATCTCAAAGTAATAAAAACCACACACTCTCTGTAGATAGAGTCTAGGTAATGTGAGTGAAACCTAAATAAAGCCCAAACAGTAGAATTCTTCAATCTAATGCCAATTTTTTAAGAGGAAAAAAAAGAAAAAGACTGAAAGACAAACCCTAACAAATGTGTAGGAAGGAAAAAGGTTGCTTTGGAGAGTGAAAATGGTTGTATAATTCCGGTTAGACATCGATTCAAGGGGCCCCCCACATTTGCCTCTTCCACTACCTTTCAACGTCCCTCCAAGTTCCAACCTACAACACCTCTCTCTTTCTCTCTCTAAAATACTTTCTTTCTCTCTCTAAAAGACTTTCTTTCTCTCTCTAACACGCCACTACTACCTCTCTCTATCTCCATCCATTAGTTGCTTCCAAATCCTGCTTTCGAATCAAAAGAAAGAAAAGGTTTCTCTCTCTAAAACGAAGGGAGGGGTCCCTTTCAGAGTGATAAAACTTGAAGGTCTGAGCATGACCTAACCGTTGGTTTGCCCTAAACCAAACCCTAAGCACGTGGAGATGAGGGGTGTTAGTCAATGAGAATTCACCGGTCTCTAATAAAATCCAATGTGCTTCCTTGACCGTTGGCCTACTAAGGCTCTGAGACAGTTGCAGTTGGGGGATGCTTTTGCTTGCGTATAAACCCAACTAAACTCTTTCACGCACACTTTTTGCTTGCTTATGCAACAATTGAAACCCCAAACCCTAGCCTCAATCAGAGGGAGACCCAACCCACCAATATTTGTGTGTGTGTGTTTGTGTTTCTGAGAGAGAGAGAGAGAGAGAGAGGAAGAGGTATTCTTCTTTGCAGTGTGTGTGAGTAGTTAGTAGGAGAGACGTACCCTTACTTTTCCTTGTTATTTGTGCATGAGAGAGAGAGAGAGATAGATTCTCCTTTTCATGTGTGCGAGAATATAAGGAGAGAGACCCAATCTTCTTCCCTTGTATGTGTGCATGTGTGTGTATGTGTGCGTGAGAGAGAGATTTTTCTTTGCATGTGTGTGCGAATATAGCGATAAAGACCCCAATCTTCCTCGGTATGTGTGCATGTGTGTGTGTGAGAGAGAGAAAGGTCAATCCTTGGAGAGTGCTCAAAAGAGTCTGGTAGCGATAGACTTTCAGGTAGTTACATCGGGCCTGCCATCTATACACAGAGGGATAGAAATCGGCTTCACAAACCCTAATTCCTTCCCCCACCCTCTCTCTCTCTCTATCTCTCTCACTCTATGTATACATAGCAGGATAGAAACCAGTCTCACAAACCTTACTTTTCCTCTTTCTCTCTTTCGCTCACATGAATTCTTCTTTCTTCTCTACCTGTGGCTCTCCACGCAAAGTCTCTCTCTCTCGCTGCGGTATTGTGTTCTTATCAAAACCAAATGGACGGTTGCAGTTAACAGAATATGTGCAGCAAGGGAAATCAGAACCATCCATTTTTAAAAATGATCTCTTTTATATAATATAGTGAGAATCGTATGGAATTAAGGATAGTATTATTGGGTGTTTGAATTCTAATTAAATCACGAATAGTATTATTATTTTTGAGAAAACATACATTACACTAAGTAAGATAGACTGCTTAAAAGATTTTGAGCTCTTCACTGTTAAAAGTTAAATCTTAACCGTCCATTAACCACTGTAGAAAATTTTGTGGTTAAAAAAAAGAAAAGTTTATATAGAGCCTAGGCTCTAAACAATCAAATTAGAGCTTGCCTCAAAACTTTCACTACAAGAGGTTGTTTTGATGCCCAAATATCATCAAATTTATTATCTGGACATCAAGATGCATGGACATGAAAAGAAAAATAGATTTCAAGTTTTAAAAATAATGCATCTTGTAACACATTTTTGGGCCATCAATTTTCAAGATTTTCAAGTTTTCATAGATCTGCTTGATCTACACTATTTTTGAAGCTTTAAATTTTATAACTAAAGACGCAAATATAATTGGGATTGTATATAATGAGATCATTTACCTTTGATACGAAGTGGCCACAATTACTCACAACCATCGGATGTGAACTTTGATAGCTTGGATGTATCAAAAAGTTCAAGAAAATTTCTTTTGAAGTTTGAGCTTGGTCCAAATTCACATCCAATAGTCAAGATTAATGTGACCACTTTGTACCAAAGGTAAACGGTCTCATTCTATACTTTCCAATATAATTTAAGGCTATCACAAAACTTTCTAGTATTGAAACTACATTTCTCGACACTATTTGAAAGTAGGCTCTAATGTGATTGTTTGGAGCCTCGGCTCTATGCAAACTGCACCCTTTTTAAGAGTCGGTGGCTTTTTTTATTAACATCAAATTTTATAAAATGACCCCAAACTAATTCTCTTCTATTCTAGAGATCATTGGTTTTCCCATCATTTTCTTGGAATATTTGACTAATTCAGATTTCTAAAATAAACCAAACATTGTTCTGTCTGGTAATTTGGTTTGATATTTTATTCCTTGCTTTTTTATTTTATTTATTTCTATTCTTCTAAATTTGAGCGCCTCTCTTTCTCTCTCTCATACTTTATTCTTTATTTATTTATTTATCATCAATTATAGGTTTGTATAAGGTGCGTACACTATATAAAGAACACCTCTAAATCTTGTCAAAAGATGTAATTTCAGCATCAAAAACCTTGTGATGGCTACAAAATCTATATTCAGGTCTAATTATGAAATTTAAATTTCAGATCTATAAACATTTGAAAATCTTGAAAATAGGCAGTTGAGATAACTTATTACGTGATGTACTATTTTTAGGGCGTAGAATTCATTTTTCTTTATATCCATTCATCTTGAGATCGAAATGATTAATTTTATAGTTTTTCAACTTCGAAACACTCTTTTCTACTAGATTTTTGAGGTGCGTATTATATTAAGATGGGTGCAATTGGCATATGGATACATCCGTAGGTGTAGAGGTAAGGTGCACCTTCAAATTTTACAGTGGTATATAATTTGATGTAAAATGTTATTAGGATTATCTCAAAATATATTTTTATATCTAATTATAAAATTTTAAATGTAAAAAATGGCTAAAATCAAGTAGATCTATAAACATATGAAAATCTTGAAAATGGACGGTGTAGATAATATATTGTAAAAATGCACTATTTTTGAGACTTAAACTCTTTTTATTTTTCATAGTCATACATCTTGATGTCAAGATGATCAATCAAAGGGTTTTTCAACATTAAAACTACTTTTTCCTATGGATTTTTGAGAGGCATCCATAGTTCTACATTATAAGGTTGCATCCTTATATAAACTTTTTCCTATTAAGATTCCAACCTTATATAAACTTTTTTCTATTTTATGATCATTATTGTTAATTTTTGTTTTTTATGTGTTAGTGGATGCATTTATTACGTCATCCATGTCACCTATTGCGTACACCATGTATTTAAAATGGATGGTTGAACTTGCTCCCAAATCTCAAAAATCTCGAGATACAAGTCCATTTTACACTGTAAATGGACGGTAGATGCATAAGGGATGACCATTCACGCACCAATTACTTTTTCCTTATTGTTATTATTTGCTTATGCTTGAGAGAAGCGACTAGTTCGCCCATAAATAGCGAATCTCTTCTGGATTGGTATAACCTGTAAACCCTAAAAGGGTTAATGCTCCATGCCATACAATCATATGGGAGGATTTTATAACCCTAATTCCTAAATTTCTTTATATTTTCCCTGAAATTGTTGCATACCCCATAGATTTAGGGCTGAAACAAGGTCCTACCTACTAAATTATCAAAAACCAATATCAAATGAATAAAACCCAGCACAATTAATCTTTGTTGGAACCATTTTAGGGTTAGGGTTTCTGAAAATACAAGCTATTTGAACAAGGCAGCTTAAAACGGTGGAGATGCTCACATTGGAACTGACGAAAGGGAATGCATTCTTAAGTCCGAATTGGCTTCAAAATGGCCACCCCAACGGTAGACCTACCGTACCTAACCATGTACACCTTTGCTTGCTTAGTTTCTCTCTCTCTCTCTCTCTCCCCTTTTGCTTGCTTAATTCCTCTCTCCATTGCTTGCTTAGTTTCTCTCTCTTGAGGGGAGAATGAGGAATCCCTAAACACCAACAACCATGGCTTCAACCCCTCACTGTCTCACAATTTGCGCACACAATTGGTATGCTACCAAAAAAGGGAAAAATAGGAGCCAAGTGCTAAAAAAGTAGGCTACATTGTTGTTTTGTGCTAGAATCTAGGTCTCAGATAAGCATTGATTTTGAAATTTTGTTTTGAGAAGGGAATAGGAGTAGGTCATTTTTCTATGTTTTAATGGGATTGAACACCATAATATCATGCTTGGGACAAGAAAGAGAGAAGTAGTTTGATTTTAAACTGAATTCTTAAGCTGTGATCATGGCCAAACATATTGTAAATTCAGGATTAGAAGACTAGCACAGTAAGACTGAACACGAGATGAGGAGCTTGCGCACATCAATGGTAGATTTCTTACAAGAAAACTATAGGTGGACTATGATTTCTATTTGTGTTAGATAAGTTGCTGTCGCAATTTCACAGAGTGTGATGTCTCTTTCAGATAATGCGATACCGTGCCTTTTTCTCCTCAATTAAACTAACTAATTTGGTGACATCATCTTAAAGAATTGTCTGATACTACTTCATTACATCTATGACTTTTGGCAATAGGGGGTGTACATTCGCTCATCGGCCATAGGAAAATCAGTGTCTAACATTTCAAGTTAATGTCGTGGATCCGAAGCAAGTCCATGCTTTTAGAACAAGAATAGACCAGAATTATGAAAGTCTCACAGAATATATGAGTGGAATCATATAACTTTCAATACATCATAGAAGAAGAAACTTGAAAGAGGTAATTCTAGTCAAAAGCCACATCTATAAAAGAGGAACGCGAGATCTTCGCTTATACTGTGAGTGCTCAAACAGGAAAAGGGGAAGCCTTCGGATTTACTCAAGAAATTGCTATGATTAGGGGCATATTATAGTGAGTGCTGACTGTTTCTCCAACATGTTTGCGGAGTTTTACGGTAGAAGCAAAGACATAGATCGACTGATCAATTTGTCGTTTTTCTCGAATAAAGCACACGAATGAGTCATAGATTGTATATCAATGTAGATCGTAAGAATGGTGATTACATTTATTGTGGAATCCTAGAAAGTATATCACCCCGGAGCCAGGAAATAATTTGAGGAATCAGATTAAATTTCATGTGTCCTAGATTGAGTTATTGCACTGATCAAGTATGAAAATTCTTATACTATTTACACATAAAAAAAAGAAAAGAAAATTATTATCTCCAAAGGATATCTTGTTGGGGTTGGTAATCACTTAGTATGTCAGCTAACAGTAATGCAGTCGTTTATCATGAGACTTAGATCCATGACATCGTCTAAAATGCACTAGCATGTGAGCACATGTGTGTGCGTGTGTGATATGCTATAGTGTATTCTGGGTATATTTTGTGAATATATATATATATACATGCACATTGTAGAGAAAATAACTCATAGAAACACACAACTACATACATAGATATTCACAAAATACAAACACACACACACACACATTGTTTCTCATGTTACGACAAAGGGTTTTTGATTAAAGCAAATGGATGACCAAAAAAGTAAATCTAAAATTGCATGGTTATTGTGACAATTGTCTTTCCCTAATCCATGTAACTTCTAATATGAACTATCAACCACCAGTCCGTAAATTAATTTTGGCAAACACTTGGTTAAATTTCATCCTTTCCAAATCCAAATTGAACATCTTTATACTTCTGGTTTTTTGATGAATTATGTGTAATACTATTCCACCTCTATTTTATATTTTGCAAATTCAATTGTACTTGTATAATTTCTATTTATGCTTTAATCTTTTGAGTAAAAACTAATATTTTGTGCCTTGATTTGGTTCCCTGATAAGAAAGAAAAGAGTTGGGCCAGCAACATTCAAACTCAAGGAAAAAAATATCCTTCTATAGTTTCTATTGAAATCACCCAAATATGGAGTTCTAATGTCACATGGCATGCCTAGAATGGCTAGTCCTAGAATAACTCCGCCATGGCTAATACCAAGCCTGTCATGCCAGTCCCAAGCCCGGATAAAGGAGGAGTGTTGTGTTAGGTAGGGCGGCTAGCGTAAAACTCAGCCTTATTTTTTCATGAATCTTGAACTTATGGTTTAATTGACCCCAAATATTAGGGATTAGGCTCGAATGTATGATGACGATGATGATGATGACATGCTTAGAATGTGGGAATGTTTTGTCATCAATAGCAATGTGAAATGGCCTTTTGAAAATCTCTAAGGCTTCCAAACCTGAACCTAGTCCCACGGGATCAGGCAATCTCATGCATTAAAGCACTTAAAAATAGCTAAACCTGCTCTAGGAGCCATGTACTCACCCTCAGTATTCATCCAACTGAGATCCAATTTAGAAATCAGCCCCCAAAAGAATTCTATTCTATTGAAGAACCGATTTACGGATCCTTATGTATCCCTCTAGAACAGAGGCAGTTCGCTATGTTTTACTCTGCACCAATTTGGGCATACCTCAGTGCTAGTACCCACCAAGGATATGCCTGTTAAAAATGGAGCAAAGAACAGATGTTGATAAAAAGAGCACAATGCAATCCCATCAAAGGCTCAAAAGGTTTTGAATTTTATAACAATTTTGGTTTGAGTAGCAGAGAAAAAAATAGGGCCCTGAAGTTAATACATCCAAATTTATGCAAAAGCAAATTAATTTGCATTTTCAGCCATGATGGACTGAAGTTTGCCTGAGGTGGTCTTCATAAAGCTTTTTTCTAAAAGACTTTGTACAAATTAAGCTCATTGACTCAGTTGTTCAACCAATAAAATAGGAATAAATCTGGTTTTAAATAGCCCAAATGAAGCTCCACACACCCAAATGGTGCCTTTCACTTAGCTTCCTCAGTGGCAGGAAGAAAGCATAAAGTTGAGGGAAGGTGACAAACACATACACACACGCACACAGACTCTGGTGTGACAATGTGCAAGTAATGATCTTATTTTGTGTCATGGTGTTGTCAAATCTGCTATGTGCGATTTAATCAAATGGAAACCTGGCATAGCAGATTTGACAACACCATGACACAAAATAAGATCATTACTTGCACATTGCCACACCCAAGTTGCTGCTGCAGTGAGGCAAAGGAATCACATGGACAAACTCCATTAAACTTATAGATTTCTTGTTTGCTTTGAGAAACCAAGCACCCAAAGTGTCATTTTTGCTTCATCTTCTAATTTCAATGATTGGGTAACCATAGGATTGAATCTAAAGGTATAATAAAGGATGAAGATTTCATCAGCATGCCCATTTTCATGGCATATAAAACTTCACCCAATTTTCTTGTGCATTTAGCTAAGATCAATGTTTTTTAACTGACCCCAGGCCTCGTACTCTGCCATGGCCCAGGATGAGTAAATTGGCTGAGTCCAATTGGACTTTGCTGACTAGTGTAGAGGGCCGAAAAGGTCATAGGAATAAAGAGGAAATAATAAATTCTTTAAAAATAAAATAAAAATTGTAGAAGTGAAAAACAATCGAATATAAAATAAAAATTCCAAAAAAACTAAAAATATACATAAAATATGTATTTAGAAAAATTGATCTATGGCTGGAGATATTTTAGAAAAATCTATAAAAAACATAAGATATAAAAATAGGGCAAACTCATAAATGGCTGTAAAAAGACATCCAAGATACATATATAATATTACATTGATACCATTGTTTTATATATATTTTTTTAAATGGAGTGAATTGCAACCGAGTACTCGGCTCGGCAAGAAGCCTAGGCCGAGTAACTTGGTTGAGTCAGAGTGGACTGGGTGGAGTTTCAAACCACTGGTTAAGATTGTGATTCCAATTTGTGGAATTTTGGAGGATGAAGCACAGACTTACTGCGATTAATTATTGCCATGATATTGGTGATGGTTTTTAGGTGAAAATCAACAGTGCCTTTCAGTTCTTCCTTACCATTATTTTCAATGGAAAATTTACATACAAGCTGCATGTTCAAATATTTTACAATATTCTCACCAAATATTCATTGAATAACCTTTACAGTAACTTTAAGACCCTCTCTCTCTCTCTCTCTCTGTTCCACCCCCTTTTTGTGACTCTGTTATGGTCATGAACCTCTCTCTGTGTTCCACCCCCTTTTTGTGACTCTGTTATGGTCATGAACTGTACTAGAGAAAATGAGAAACATGCTCACATTCACGTTGATGATAGAAATGGTACAAACTACAAGAAGAAGGAATGTCAGGGGAGGGAGGTTCAGAGTTCATGGTTTCCCGATAATTAATTTTACCGAATGCTGGACTACTTAAATACAAGTTCGACAGCAATTACAAACCTACTAAAAATTACATAGTTTCTAAACATTCCCTGCTTTTGGAGCTCCAATAGATATCTGCATATGCATCATATATCCACAATCTGGCTACGAGCAAAGTGCTTCCCATCGCTCCAAGTCAGGCTCCCAAAGGTATAGTCCCCTTGCAATTGATGTTTTTCCATGAAGGTCACCTTGAAGGGAAGCACGTCAGTTGTGTTACTGAAGTTTAAAACTGGAGGTTCCATTACCACTTTCACACCAGGAGGAGAGTCAACCAGAGATTTGTAGACTGAGTGGACCTCCCCACATTGGTAACCTTTCTTGCAATGGTCCCTGAAGTTTTAAGGTCAGGAATAAAAATACAGGGTAGGTTCAGGTTTGGTATTGATATGGGAGTCTTAGGCCAGGAGGCCTTTCCGAGGCAACAAGTGAGATAACAGAATTGTTGTAGCCCATGGCACAGAGGAAGAGGAGGTGATCGAAGATATCCATGTCGTAAATGAAACCAGGATCTGCAGCCTGGTCAGGGTTTACATGGCCACCACCATAGTCGAAAGGATCCGCCACCTTGTGGGAGTCCCCATCGGCTAGCATTGGCTCACCATTTTCATGCATTGTTAGGCTTCAAATTGATATTATTTTCAGTCAATTGCAGGTTATATTCAAAATGATAGCTAAGGAATCATGTGCTATGACATGTTTTGAAAGATACCAGAAATTAATTGAGTATCAAGGGCTGTATTAATAGATTATGAGGCTCTCTTATGGTGGATTTGAGAGAAATCATCAACAACATCAAGTTATTACCTGTACGGATCATCTTCCTAGTAATAACTACTTGCCCATGTCTGATTTTCAAAAGATCAGATATATAAGGAACTTTACAAACTCGCTTGAATGGATTTTTATGCATTTCAATTTCCCCTTCTTTGTGATAAGGAGCATTGGATTAAACTATTATCCCCCTTGAGATCATATCATAAGTGAAGGTTTCACATGCATAATGTTTGTTAATGTTCATTTCCTTTATGGGGTGCAAGCGGGCAGGGTTGGCCATGTCTTGCAGGCCTAGCACACCATGGGCTGGCTTCGAGACCCTCCATGGTGCCCATCACGCCAGGATCGGTCTGAGCCCTAGTTTTAAGGCCCTACAGGCCCTTATATAAGTAAATTATACTATAAATAGGCATAATTGTAATACACATTAAATAATATGATTCATTTAATTTACATACTAATGTAATATATACTGTAATAGCTGGGCTAATCCCTGGCCTTATTGTTTGGGGCCTGATCATGGCCAAGGCTGGGTCAGGGCCTTTGTAACTAGGCTGGGACGGGTCAGCCTTAACCTGGCCTGGTTGCAAGCCCCACTTCTTTGGGGCTTTGAGCAAGACATAAGTATTTTGGGAAAGACATATACCTGACTTCATGTAAACCCTCGAGTCCATGGAGAGCCCATGGACCCCTCTAATTTAAAAGAAAATGACCTTTAACCTTCTCTTTACCTTTAATCTTGTCCAAATTACAGTATTTGACATTTTTTATTTTTCTAATGACCCCATCTTCCCAGCCCTAGAAAAGATACCCCCTTCTCTCTCCCTCTCTCTCTGTCTCTTATCTCATGAACCTCACATGTAGTCTAAATGTGATTTCCTAAACTCATTTGGATTACGGGGTCAATAGAAAAATGTAAAAGGATAAATATCATAAATTTGAATAATGAAAATGGCAGGAATGAGGTTAAATGTCATTATCTTTTAGATGCGGGGTCCATGGGCTTTCCATAGACCTGAGGATTTACTTAGGATTGGGGTAATACATCTTTTTCCCTAAATACTTCTTACCTCCATACTTCTTACATCGTCGCACACGGAGGTTTGCGGACCGGAGCATTGAAAAGGTTCACCTCGATTGCCCATAACTGAATACAGTCAATAGAGGTTACATTCCATATTCAACTTGTATTCTACATCTATTCTATATTTTCCTTGAAAAAATATAAACAATATACCTAACATAGATGGTCAAAAATAAAATAACATCAACCCAAGGGGATTTAAAAAAACCAAATACAGACTCACCAGTGGTTACGAGGGCCGATTTTATTGCAGCAAGTGACCAATGGAGAGACTTGAGCAACGCCACCATACCATCCACATGGGATATGCCATTGAGGTTCCGAACATAAATACAAACTTGTCATGCGTCAAGCCTGGCGTAGGTGCTGCGGCTAAAATGTTGACCCCAGGTGCACCTATATCTGGCTGCTCCATAAAGCAAAAGAAACAGATCTCATGACGTGTAAAAGGAGCTTACTCTATAGTATTGTATGCTATTGATTTCATATGATTCACTGTGCCTTCAACCTTTATCCCAAATTCAAGTGAATCTCCACCAAAGCTTACAAATTCAACTTGGATTGGAATGGCAACTAGGCCAATGGGTTGCATAGCCTATTCGTTTTGCAGTTTTGTACTATGCAACTGTTGGCATGTTTTGTGCTTAGAAATGCAAATAATCATCATGTATTAAAGTTAAAGATATTGATTATGTAAGCCACCCAGCCAATGGATCAGTAAAGCCGGATGTGTTAGAGTGAACGATAGGAGGCAACCTGGATGGCCAACATTCACTGAACATGACCGACACATTTGGGCAATTATTTTGGTGACTTTTGGTGCTTTTTTTCTCTTTTTTGTTGTTTTTGTTTTGAAGCACCTTAATGAGACACACATGTACAGGAGAATGGACTGGAAAAGCATCATAGAAGATGCTCATGCACCTGTCTCTGAACTATGCACATCTCTTTCAAATGAAAGGAAAACATTATGTACCTTCAAAATTGCTGGGGAAGGAATTAGGTCCTCGGAAGGAAAAGTGGGCCACTTTGGGTGCTACAATGCTCCCCATCAATGTCTTTGAATGACTTATCTTCACCATGGGAGAACTACATGCCATTGATATCGTAGTTCCAGTTCTGAAACTTGAATGAGGAATTAACAAAAACTGCTAAATTCAATTAATTTGTAACCAAATATTCAATAATTTAGGTATGACTTTATTTGTTGACAAATTGGCTTTTGAAAGAACCATATTCATCTACTTTTCCTGACTTATGTGGTTAGCTTGAAAGCCTCCTTATGTTCTCTGACTCTAACTATAAAGAGTGACTATTCGCAATGTTTTTTCCTTTTGGAAGATAAACTAAATACCCCATGAATTTTTGGTGGAGTAGACTGCTCCTATCTTAGGGTGAGACTCTCTTTATGCATTCTGCTAAACATCTGCAGTTTGAAGCTTCTATAAAAGGTATTTAAATTGTAATATGTAATTCAACTATTGGAAAAAGTTTTGGCTTTGTAATGATCTAAAATAGACAGGGCAAGTGAATTTAAGCACCACACACATGGCTATTTTGGTATCATTAATTTAGGATAGCTTAAGAAGGCATCTGTTGTGAACAGATACGTAAATCGATAAAATAATTAACATTGATTAAGAGGCCATTTGTCGTGAGAATCTACAATTCTTTTAAAGATTCATTGACTGTCTGAGAAGCCCTTTTTTCATTCATTGAGCAAAGAAATCATTGACGATATGTATAACCATCACCAATGGAAGACAAGTTCCATCTTCCACAATTTTGTATTAAAAATTCTGCAGTGAACCGTTATACAGTGATTGGTACAGTGGTATATCATGTTGACAGGTCGTCTATACAAGGTTGTCGTTTTGTGTGTCCTGTTAATGAGCAAGTGGTTGTGGTGCGCAATTACGAGATCGTAGTTGGTATGTGTTTCCTTTCACTGTGGAACTCTACACAAGGAAGTCCAATACAAGCTAGATGTTGGTACCCTCATGGGACCCTTTGGGCTAAGGTAAACTTCAATTTGTGACCTGCAATATAGCCATGATCAATAGGGGAACAGAAATCATGTAGCTGACTCCAAATAATTGGATAAGATCCAGATGATGATGATGCTAATTATGATCAACGGATCCCTTACGTTTTAGCATGCTTGGTCCAGCCTATCTAAGTATGCCAATTAGTTTGAAGTAATAGTCCACCCATGTTTTGAGTGGCTAGGTCAAAATATAATAGTTGGATTATTAAAATCAGGGGTTAAAGTCAGGCCCTATAAATTTAAAACCAAATACCTTGGCCCCAAGGTTCACTTTTCATATTTTTGTAACAATCTACTCCTATGCTAGATTGCGCCTTGTTGGCTTGATTTGTTCTCACCCCAACCAAAAAAGTTGTAAGAAAAGCAAGGTTGAGAACAAGGAAAGCATTTTTCTTGACCTATTGTAAAACTATGGTTTTCTTCACCTGCACTTCAAATCTATTGGTAAAATGCAACTTTGGTGCCACAAAACTTGCAAATCGATCATTTTCACCTCGACAAACATGGATCTGAAAAGAGAAATAGATTTCAAGACTTAAAAAAATGGTCCATCTTGCCATGTTTTACTTGGACAGTCAATTTTAAAGCATTACTAATCGGCGAGATCTGCACCATCATTGGACCTTCAAATTTCATGGTCGGGGTAAAAACAGGTTTGTAGGTCATCACAAGGTTTTTCTGCACCGGATTTAAGTGGGGCAGCAAAGCCAAGGAAAATGGAGAACAAATCAATGCCGTCATGGATTGCACAGTCAAAAGACGCTAGTATGTCTGCATCCCGCCCTTCATCCAAGAGGCCTTGTACACGGCAAGTCGGGCAAGAGGTACACCACCGCGGGCCACCCCAATAGCAAACCTGCCAAATGTGGCAGATGCTACTGGAGAGCCCGCTGCAATGGAGAAAGTGTGCGCACCATGGCCCTCTGCATCACAAGGAGACAATATCTCATAAGGGTCGAAGTTTGGGCTTGTCCTAACTTGGCTTCGAGCCCTTCGACAAAGTAACGCTCACCGATGAGCTTGCGACTGCAATGAGATGCATTGAATTGCCTGCCTGACTCGCAGAATCCCTTCCATCGTAGCGGGATGGGACCAATGCCCCTGTCATCGAAGCTCAGTGATTCGGGCCAAACTCCAGGAACACAAATATATTTGGTGAATGCTTTAGCATAAACATATGAATGCATGGGTTTTTCATGCGAAGAAAATTAAGAGGTCCTTCAATGGTCGAACTTCATCAATATGTTAAGAGGATAGAATTATAGTGCTCTAGGGAAATGATACAGCACATGGTGTGCTCTAGTAAAAACTTTTTTTGTGAACATCAGACCATAATTTTCATCTCAAAATTATTTTTGAGGTGGTTGAGAGCACAAAAAAGAGTTCCATATGGTCTTCTCCTCACAATATCTTAAGAAAACCTTGGAGCTCAAACATGCTCCACTCCTGTGCCAGCACCAAACTCAAATCTTGGACATCCATTTGATTTGATCCAACGCATTCAAAACATTTTCAAGCTTTGATTAAGTATCGTTTGGAGAAGGCTTTATAGAACTCTGCAAAATAAAGAAAGAAAAAAAAAGGATGCTTGGAGCTCTAAATCAATTGTAACTGTCAAACTTAAATTTGGGCCATCCATTTCAATTGGCTATGGACCTAAGCGATGCATATCATTTTTGGAGTTCCAAGTCAAATCAATTTTGGCGAAATCACTCCAAAAATAATCTCCTAAAAAAAAATGTTAAAAAAAAATAAAAAATGAAAGGCTTAGAGCATCAATAATGTTGCAAATCTATTGTCACTTAGAAATTAACTCTAGATTATCCTTTCCGATATGGGGTAAGGAAGTAGGTTGTATTAGGCAGGCAACGAATGTTAAACTTTGTCAAAACTTTCTATGAATTTTTCAAGGGGTATTTTGATAATACATGGAGGATAATCCCCTTGAAAATACATGGAGGATAATTATTTGGAACTTTATTGGGTCCGTCATCCTCCTCAAAAGTTATAGTTGAGGTCTGTAATTATATATTATCTTATTGTGGAAAAATATATATAAGGTGCTCAACCTTATACTATTGGTGTAAGATTAAGATGTATTTAAAACATCCTCTAGACTAGTGTTCCGATATTGTGAAACCCTCAAATTAATAATCTCGACCTCAAGAGTTATGGCTAAAAAGAAAAAAAGATTTGATATCCTAAAAAACGGTGCATCTTGTAACAAGTTATCAGGATCATCTATTTTCAAGATTTTCAAATGTTTATAGATCTGTTTATGTCTATGCCATTTTTAGTATTTTAAGTTTTAAAAATGGGGATAAAAATAGATGGGAAAGCTTTCTATACTTTTCCTACAGCATAGAAGTTCTATCCTCCCCCTTATCCAACCGTCCATTCTGAATGGAGGGCTAAGATTGCCCCAATCACAATGTCACGTCTCTATACGATTTTAATTTTGATTTTTTTCTATAAACTATTTTGACACAAAATTTTGGATGTCCATTTTTCTATTAAACTCACACTAGCAAAAAATATAAAAAAAAATATTTTAAATAAAATAAAATGACCAAAATACCCCTAAAATTTCAAGGGGTATTTTGATCATTATATTTTATCGTAAAATTATTTTTAATATTTTTTATAAGTGCGCCCCAATGAGAATATAGCATTTCCAAATTTCATATTCATACAATTTGTATTAAAAAAACTAAAAATAAAATACTTGAGACATCAGATCTAAGATCAAACGGTGAGTGGCTCTCTTGATCAAAATTGGACGGCTGGATGGTAAGGGGAGAATAGAACTTTTATGTTGCAGAGAAAACATAGAAACCTTTTCCAAAATGGATATGGGAAGATAGAACTGCTATGTTGTAGGAGAAGCATAAAAACCTTTCCTAAAATGAATATTTAATCGAGGAACTATTCTCCAGAAAAAATTTAGATGTACACCTAACTTCAACAGTATAAGGCACATATAAACCTCACCCACCCTTTGTAGTATTCCTTGGGACCCACGAAAGTTCAACCTGAACCATGGATAAGTTGTAGCTATGGCACAAGTTATCATAGGGTGAGGCTCGGACAATGCCCAACCAAGCCCAAACCAATTATGGTTGGGAAAACTGGTGGGTTCCGAGCCTGGACTGACTAGCTAGAGGTTGGCCAGTCTTGGCCCCCATTACATTAATTGGGCTGGACCAGCCCAAGCCTGTCATAGGCCTCAACCCATTTTTTTCTTATTTATCTTAAAATCATGTAAATTGTGTAGCCTGATGGGCTGAGCCTCTTTTGCCCAGGCCTTGCCTAATTAAGAATCAAGATCATTGGCATGAACCCTATTAGAAAGGGCTAGGCTGTTTTGGACAACCATCCTAGCCCTACCTCAACGCTATTTTAGTGCCTAAGTGACCAGTTATTTCTTAGAAATGTATCCAAATCTTTTTGCAAAAGTTAATTCTAAAAGCAAAATGGTTGGTGATCTTGTTTCTAGGAAAAGGTTTTTCTGCAGATTGGAATATTTGTAGATCCTATAGAAGAGTTTCAAATTTGATGATAGAAGAGTATATTCAATGTATCAACAGTTGTATTACTGCCCATCTTTGGAGGATAAAGCGATTTGGGAGTTGGAAAAATCTGGTAAATATTCTGTGAAATCTGCTTATCATTCGATTGTGATCGGTAATAATACTTGGTCTGATAGACAAGCACGTAAGATATGGAAATGGCCAATTCCAATTAAGGTTAGAGATTTTTTGTGGTTCCTTAAATTGCGTAGAATTCTTACTCTGAATATGTTAAGGAAAAAAGGAGTTAATGTGGTAAATTTTTGTATTATCTGTAAATGTGAGGAGGAAACTATTGTACATCTGTGTTTTGATTGTGTCTATGTACAAGTTGTATGGAGATGGACGATGGAGGAAATTGGATTTTGTAATTCAGTCCCTACGCAGATAGCAGATAGATGATTTATGTGGTGATTTGTTAGGAGGTGGGTTAAGTTTATTTGGGAAGTTTGGAAGGAAAGAAATGGAAAGACTTTTGAGGGCATTAGAAAAAACATAGACTGAATTAATTGATTTTATTAGGAATGTGGTTGCGGATTGGTTATCCATTAGAAAGGAATGGAGGGGTGTTTCTAGGGTGGATTTACTGTATAATCTTTATGAGCTAATTAAAGGAAAGTCACAAAGGAAGATTAGAATTAAACTAGATGAGGAGTGGATTAAACTAAATTTTGATGGAAGCTCACTTGGTAATCTTGGTTTAGCAGGTATTTGAGGTATTGTGTGAGATGAACATGATGTGGTTTTACTGAAATTTTCCGGCCCTATTGGATTTACAGCTTCTAATGAAGCTGAGCTGCAGGCTGTTCTAGCTGGTGTTAAATTGATTAGAAGGTTTGAGGTAGGAAAGGAGGGACACATTTTTGTCCTGGTGCACTAGTTGGAAATCGAGTAGATTAATTGGGGGTTTCCAGCTACAAGTCGCAGAGGTGTGGAGTACATTTGACCAAGCCGGTAGATACAATTGTATCCGCTTGAACATAAGCGGCATAGGCATCTGAGAAAACATCCGTGTGGTGTGGCAAACTTCCTGTAACCGTAGTAGGTCCTGTACCAGTAGTTGGGACAGAGGCGGGTTACGATCAAGGGCTGGTCGAGCTAGCTCTTGCTTCCTCCCTCTACTGGTCTTGAAAGCAAGCGGACGAGGGCCCTGAATTTGGGGCCAAAAAACCTATTATTATTGAAGGGGATTCATTGAATATTATTAATTGGACTATGGGTAAAGCTGAGTACCAATGGAGACTTCACAGTTTTATAACTGAATTGCTGGATTGTTGTGAGAATTTGAGGTGCAGATTTGTTCATGTGTTTGGGGAAAGTAATATAGAAGCAGATGGTTTAGCTAAGAGAAGTGCGAATGCTGTAAAATGGATTGTTTTGCTGTGATTAATTGGTGGTATGGTTGGAGACGTCTTTTATTGCTTTCTGTTTCTGTTTTTCCTTTGTATTTTATTTTTCAAATGTTGTAATTTGAATTTGATTTGTGGAATAAAAAAGTTGGTGACTATTTCTCAAAAAAAAAAAAAGTGACCAGTCATTACTCTTCGCCTTTTGCCTAGTTAGAAAACATCCAGTTTAAATGAAAGAGATAATGTTTAACCCATTGCAGGAAAAATCGAACAAAACGGTCAATGGACATAGGCTTGGACGTTGTTCAACAGGCCTAATCAGTAAACCGGCGGGTTTAACTGTTCTAATTGGGCTAGTCCCATGTGGTCAAAAAAATATTAAAAAAATATAAAAAATTATAATAAAATATAAAAGCTATATTTAAATAATGATTAAACAAAGCACATCCAAATGAAGATGAAAAAGTAATGAAAAGAAAAAAAAAAGATTTTCAAGAATCGATTTGTGCCTAGAGGTACTTTTGAGATTTTCCAAAATAAGAAAAATATAAAAATAAGTATTAATGGCCAAAATAGTTTCCTATATTTGATATAATGATGAAAAACATTATGAAAATGTATTACAAACAAAATTTCCTATCTTATGGGATTTTATATATTTTTTAAATTTGTTTTTAAAAATACTTGGTTGGTCAACAAAAGTAGCCGGTTATGATCTAATCCGGTGGTTACTTTTAGAACCCCCAATTTTTCCTTCAATAGTTTAACCTCAAGAAGATTGGTAGAAAAAATGTCCGAAACAAAATGAAAAATATAAAATCACATAAAAGAAAGTTCCCCAATTTTTTTTGTGTAAAGACAATGTCAATATCACAACCTGCATAGTTCTATTTCCCGTATTAGGAAATGAAGACTAATATGTACGGGGCACTTCTTTTTCAAGTAGTAGCAGTAGTAGTAATAGTAAGGCCAAAGTCTTGTGCTGTGTTTCAGAAACTAGCGGGGGAGAAAAAGGCCCCATTCGTGACAACATGGAGAGGAAGGAGTACTTTTTAAAAGTATTCTATAATTGAACATAATAGGAAAAGTATACAACAAGATTATTTACCTTTGGTCCAAAGTAGTCACTGTTGGAAATGTAGTCTATCAAGTTCTTTTTCTCTTGACATTTTATTTATTTTTAATAATGATACAAAAGCCATATTAGAGCATATGTGAAATCCTATGTAGTTAAAATGAGGCAATGCAATATACATGATCAATTTTTGA